AAGCACATTGTGACACCATCATACACTAAACATCAGACCTGTTGCTCTTTCAAGGGAATTTTGACTATTACAAAATTACATATTTTCCTCCTTCCCTAAGTGGTGTCCTCTGATATGTGTTTAATGCTTTGCCTGCTGTGACGGTAATTTAGGGGGAAAAAAATATATCTAAGCTGATGTTTTAAACCTTTTTGCAAATAATGCATTTAAAATAAGTGAGGTATTTGCATATTATATCTTTCTTGTTCAAATGAAAGTGTTCTTTACTTATTTGGTTTTAATCTTACAAATGCCAGTCATTCACTAAACATCAAGCCTGTTCCTCCATTTTTATTTTAGCTGCAACTTCAGTGAAGCTGGCATGTGCTTTGGTTTGGTTTTCTGCCTTGTCCTGATGAAACTGATAGAAAATGTTATATGTTTGATGACCTGCTGTAAAAAGTAGTGTTAATGTATCACGACAATTTGCCAATCTGTGGTTGTGTTTCTGTCCAGCAGCTGCAAACACATCTGTCCCAGGTTGAACCAGTGCCAGGGGTTAAAGGGCAGTGGGCTACACAGCTGCTGCAGAGACAACATCTTTGATCCCTCAGATATGAATGCTCATAGATGCTGACCTTGGAGACAAAGTAAACATCATATTTGTACTAGAGATGGCACGATACCACTTTTTTATGTCCGATACCGATATCATAAATTTGGATATGAATCCGATATAGTGTGTTTTTTAATCAATAAAACTGTTTTTTTAAATATTTTGCTGCTTTTTGTATAAGTTCATACTCAAGTAAAAAAACAAAACAAAACACTAAATCTACTCTGTTATACCTGTATGTAAAAAATACACTGCACCCAAAATATTTCATAGTTCAGCAATACTGATCAATCTAATAAACTTAAACCTACTCCATCCTCCCTATTCTGGTATTTTAAAGAGTAAGCAACCTAACTAATAGGGTTCTAAAACTCCCAGCAAAAAAAATAAAATAAAATAAGGAACCACCCTCCACCTCATGATGCTTAATTCAGCGGTCCCCAACCCCCGGGCCTCGGACCAGTACCGCTCCGTGAGTCGTTTGGTACCAGGCCGCGAGAGTTGATACTCAGGTGTGAAATGTATAGTTTTCAGGGATTTTTATCGGTTTTCAGCGTTATTTTGTTATCGTTTTTATCGTTAACTCTGTTTTCCTGGGTCTTTTCACGTGTGTCATGAATAAATCTTCTTTTTTTCGGTACCGGTACTAGTTTTATTTTGTTGTATTTATCCGCGACACCTTAAAGGCCGGTCTGTGAAAAATAATGTCGGGCATAAACCGGTCCGTGGCGCAAAAAAGGCTTAATTGACGTAATCAACTTCAATTTGATGCAGTGTGAAAAAAATGCCCAGAAATAAATTATTTTTCAAGAATAATTAAATAGATTCAACATCTTTCTTCAACAGAACTGCAGACTGCACAGATCGTACCTTCCCAAAGGAAAAAGTACTATAGCTTACTAGGGTATATTAGACTTAACAGTTACTATATACAGTAATGGACTTCTATATATTTTACATCAGATTAAAACTTTGGGTGTCAGATAATTATTTATTAAAAGCTAGACATTTAAAATGAGAATAAGAAAGAAAAGTATGTCTTTGTGCCCCCTTTTCCCTGTTAATGCCCTATCGGCCCCCCTGGTTAAACTTTGCTAGATCCGCCCCTGCACAGTTACCAGCCGTCAGCTACTTAGAAAAGGATCCTGGTGTAGAAAGTAATATTAAATACATTCTAACAACAGCTTATCAAGCTTAAACGTGCTGCTGTTGTTCAGCCGCTGGTTTCCTCTTTCTGGTGCAAAGTGGGCCAAAAACAAACCAGAGAGACGGACTCGCGACGATCAGCTGATCATTGATCAGTTTCATGATTGAAGTAGCAGCAGGAGAGGGAGAGAGAGGCAGTCGCTCCATATATCGGTTGTTAAGCTTAACATGGGAATGCTTTACAAACATTCAGAGATGAACTTACACACTTGCTTTACTTCTCTCTGGAATAACTTCCTCGGAGATGAAATGCCGGAGTGAGGCTACAAATACAGGCAGCCGCTCTATCACGTGACACCTACTATGTGCTACAGTTATGAGCCGAGTTACGCCATGTCGCAAATTTTGTGAGGTGCTTTTTTGATATTTAATGGATCGGATTACATTTTTTATTTCTCTCCGATATCCGATCCACTAATTTACGTCAGTATCGGACCGATACTGATACGTAATATCGGATCGGTCCATCTCTAATTTGTACAGATTGGGACTGTGAGCCAAATATAAATTTCTCCTGTTAACACTCAGAGTGAGGCTGTTATGGTCATTAGGCAAAGCATCCCCACACTGATTTGCATCTGTGAACATACCACGGTCGTTATGTTTCAGTTTACATTGTCCGTAAGTAGCAGCACATGCAAATACTTTTCCATACCAGGAAATTTATATAACAAGTAGAAGATGGGTGAATAATGAGGTATCGAGTAACATAATGTTACAGTTACAATTTCTAAATTATAAATTTTGATCTACTCTATAACTAATTTATAGTAATTCTTTTCAACAACTAAAACAAAACTAATTACTGTAACAATCAGTAAATCATTAACAAGCTGCTAGAAAAAAAAGCCCCTCAACCAGTCAACCATTAAGCCCTGCTTTCTGCTCTGTGTCTACATTCAGTTCAGTCTTGATGCAACATTATTTAAAGCAAATGCTTCTCACCTGTTCACATAATTTAATCGAGATTTTTTTGGGTTTTGACCTCAAACAAGTATAAAATATAAATCTTTTCAAAATCAACCTATAAACTTAGAAACACTGTTTGATTTGATGCTTCAGTGTCTAACATGTTGTGTTTCATTGTTGTTGCTGGTTTTATTTATTTTATTTACTTAAAATCCTGTCCTGTTTTGTAGCTTTTGCAGGCACACTTGTAATCTGAAAGCACTGTTGGGCTCAACACATTTTGCTTTTATAACTTGTTCTCTATAAATTCTCTACAGGCTCTTCTTGTTCATGTGTTTTTTGTTCTGTTTATTTATCTGTTTCTTTTTGTGTTATTTCACTTGTTACATTATATGTGTAGTATGACAATTGTCTAAGTGGACAGGATGGAGAAAAAAAAGAACAAGGGGGAAAATACGGGACTACATAATAAAAGCATTGAGCACAAATAGAAAAATATAAGGAAAACCAAACATACAGCACCTGGAACACAAAAATATGAAAATAAACAGATCAACAAGATCAGCAGATGGAATATACATTTCTCCTGTTCAGAGTGAGGCTGTTCAGTAGGCAAAGCATTCCCAGAGTTTTATGTCTAATATGCCTTTGTCAAGAAATTGTGTTCATGTTTGGTGTTCAGAGATACTTTTCTGCATGCCTTGGTTCTAACGAGTGGATATTTGAGTTACTGTTGCCTAGTCTCAGCAGCCAAAGCATTGCCATTTAGTCCGGACCTCACGTTTCATGAAGCATTATTTAAAGCAAAAATGAATCGGGTTCTGTCCTCAAGCAAGTATGAAATATAAACTTTTCTAAATCAACCTATCAAGAGTGAAGCTCAATAACAGCTGGCATTTTAAATTAAAATTGCACACATTTCATGTCTCACAGCTGGTTGAGTGCTGTGGAGTTCAGGGACCACAGAGGAAAATGGTACAAAGGGAATATAATATTTCATTAAAATAAAGGATTTAAAAAAAAGTTCAGGTGTGATGTTTTTTTATTCTTGTTATTCTTGGCTGGTGAACTCTTAGCCACCTATATAGCAGTTTCTAAATCCCTCCCCAGGTGTCTCAGCCCCCACTCCCACCTTCACCCATGTCACCCAATAACTCACATAATAGCATGAAGGAGCAATATTTCACTAAGAATCCAAACCTGCTTATAAAACTGGTAACTACTTTGATTGGTTCACATTAAATACATTTGGATCAGACAGAATTGAACTTTAAATAAGTTCAACTTTGATGTATTTAACTATAACATTGTCTTTTAAGTACCAGTGGGTTTTCTTACCACAATATTAAGAATTTTTCCTCTCAATTTCAGTCTTTTCCCTTTTTTGACACTTATTTTCAGTCTTAGCTCTGTCACTGTGGAAAGGAGGTGTGAAGGATAATGATAAAGTACACAGCTCAGTGAAAGTGGAACTGAGTTTCATGTTTTTGATGTTTTTCCTTTCAGAGCCCTTCAACCTAACATGACATGGAAAGACGCCCTGTACCACTGCAGAGAGGAACACATGGATCTGGTTTCCATCCTTGATGAAGAGACTCAGGGCTGGGTTTAGTTGGAGGCTCAGAAGGCTGACACTCCCTTTGTCTGGCTGGGTCCTCACTACACCTGTGGCTTCAGCTTCTGGATCTGGGTCAACGATCAGTGTGTATTTTTTAATCAGTGGGCTCCAGACAAGACAAGAACAGCAGTCTGTAGCATAAGTAGATTAATTTGTCAAATACCCTCAGCACGTCAGCACGTCATCACGTTGCCTGGTGGGTGGTGTGGAGACTTAACTTTGTGACTAACTCAAGAATGAGGTGACATAAGCTTTTTAAAATTGATGCCATAGGTGCATCAACTTGGAGGCTGAGGGGTAGCGCTGCCAGCCGCCAGTGTGGTGTAACGTTTCCGTCAGGTTTACAGATATTCAGTGATTGCATCTGTGTCAAATTTCCTCCTTTAAATAAACTGCATAATTCCACATATGTCTTGTACATTGTAAAACGATGCAGCATCATCAGTGTATTTTTGCCTTAATTTCATTGGATGAATATGCAATTTGAGCACAGAGGCAAATACTTATCAAAAGTGGTCAAGTGTTTAGATGGGAGGACACAATGGAGACTCACTTTTACATTTTACAGCGTTTGTCTGAGCCGCATGTTTGACACCACGATATGAATTCTTCTTTATATCCAGGGAGCTGAGTGGTTACTGCGTCATCAGCCGGAACCTTTCTGTTCGGAAATGAATTCGTCGGGCTGTTTAACCAAGCGCACAGTAGTTGCTGTATGGGCAGCCTGTATTTGTGGAGTAAATTGTATGTATTTAGCTCCAGATGGAGATATTAGGGAGCACGTTTGACGACTCGGTGTTTTCGGAGGTCAGAGACCGAGTGTGTGCGTCTCTGTCTTCTTACAGCGCCAAACTGTGTGAGCCAGAGGTGAGAGTCTTACACAGAGACGTTACTACATGAAGATAGACATGAAGGTTGTTTAGATTGTCCTTCGTGGTGAACACGAACACAGAGCGTTATGTACAGAACAAACACGGAGCTAAAAGACTAAAGTGCGAATTGTAACGTTTACGATCTGACATGTAGCTCATACAGGAGAATAACTGTAACTATGGTTCGTCATTTTAAGCGTTTGTGTCAAATTAGGCTGGTGATTACAGACACTCAGTTTTAAACACACAAATTAAAGGAAATGAAGTTCATGCTTCTAAATAAGTGCCCAAATAAGTACCCTGTGGCATTTCTAGAGGCCAGACGTCTCCCATGTTATTGCACTTGGCTGAGTCTGTCACATGTTTCGTTTACATGGAGAGAAACAAGCAGATAAATCGGATATCCCACCTCTGAATTAAGTGCAAGATTTCAATATTGCTCCTCTTTGATATTTGTGCTGCTCGCTGTAAGTTAAATTGCATTATTATTATGCTGACGTTTAAGCATAGATGAAGCTGAGTAGCTGCTGCATCAGGGCAAAAGTGGAGACATGTACTTCTCTGGCAGTGACTGACTGAGCAGCATCCTCTAACAACCTCATGCTGTGTAGTAAAGTTGTTCCTCTCTGCAGTGGTTTTGTGACAGTGCTGCTCTGGATGCTGAAGATTCTCTGGAGAAGCAGAAAGTCTACAAGTTCAGAGGTGACCTGGCTGTGAGACAAGGAAACTATCAGGTACTGTCACTCATTCAATTTAGTCTGTGCTCTCTTACATCAAACACTTCCTCGGAAAGTTTCACTGGGACATGGAGGTCTATTGTAGCAGGTATTTGTATAGCTGATAAACCTCCTGTACAGCTGATGCAAACTAACAGGCAAATAAATAAAAAAAAGTCCATTCATGACCATCACTTTGTTGCTTTATCAACAGCATCAGTATTTGAATATTTCTGTAAGACTGTTGTAAAGTTATGAACAAACAAGACTAGTTAGATCATTTTCATATTTCCAGCCTAATAAGTCACCTCAGAAAAGAGCAATTTTTATAGTCCCATTTCACACAGCCAAAGAGCACAGATGTAGTCAGCAGTGGTTTACACAGCAGCAACATTTCCAGACAGCATGGAAAAGATTTCCTAAAATATTGACAAGAAACTTCTGTTTCAGTGAAAAAATAAAACCTACAGAAGCTGTTTAAGCGTTGGACCAAATCACACTCTGGGTTTGACTCTTCCTGTTGTTGTTGCTGCCACTCTCACTTTTCCACCTTAGCGTTTGTAACGTTTTAGAAGTTTTGTTTGGTTTCTTTTTGTTTGGTGTGTGTGGGTCAGAAAGCCTTGGAGGCATACAGCAGCTGCCTGCAGTGGATCGCTGACAACAACCTGACCATTAGACGAGATGTCGTGGAGGGGATGGCCCGATGCTGCACCAGACTGGGACAGAGAGACAGAGCGCTGGAGTTGGCCCAGTTACTGGTAATTCTTTACCTGACTGGGTTTTCCATGAGGAACAGTCAGAGTGAATACTGTCAGCTATCATGTGACCATCCTGTGACTTTTTATCCGCTTTTTAAAAATCTGTCTTCCTTAACAGTGACCCTGTCTGCACTATAAACTCTGAACACTGATGGTGTGTTCCAAAAGTCCCTCCTATCTCCTTTTTCCAACCTCTTTTCCTCTTTTTGGATGAAAACATCATTGAGGTCAAAGAAAAGTGGGTAGGATCACTGAAAAGCATTTAGGAAAAGAGAAGAGCTGTGCGATGAGAATTGGAACAACCTTACACCAGTCGGATGACGAATGTTGAAACTAACTCGTGCAGATGGACTACAGAATACAGAATCTTATTTCACCACAATGTGTTTTAACCTCACTCTGCTTGTCATTTAAATGATAGCAGCCTGTGAGAAATATCTCTTTGGAAATTATAAAGAAGGAACATTTAGGGCCAGATTTATTAACGTCATGCAGCACCACTAGGCCTTCTTTTGACATTTTAAAGGTGCATCTACACACGTGGTACAGTCACACAGCAACTGGGATGGACAATTTTTTTTTTTGTTTCTCTGCACATTGTACACGTCAGCTGTTCCACTCACATTTCAGGTTTATATGGTGGAACAGTTTGTAATATTATAAAGAGACTAATCTCTGCTGCTTTTGGCAGAATGCTGTTTTTTACTGAAGTGAACTCACTGCATCTTTGTAAATAAATTATAGTTCATTGTGAGTAGATCACCCTGCAATTGCGGCATCACAATAATTCGCTCCACTTAGTAAAACTGTCCCATAGCCTATAAAATTAAACCCATCTTTTTGGCTTATATTAACCAGCTGTGATCCAGTGGATCATACTTCTTTTTCCCTTTTTAGGATTTCTGTGACTGCAATAAAATTCCATCCCTCCCTTATACCAGCTGACCTGAAGTAAAAATAAATTTAAGACAATCCGAAAGTCTTCAATACAGCAAAGGACGAGCTCATAATCTTTACAGAGCTTACATAAATCCATGTCCTTCATGCCATAATCTGCTGATATAGTTTTACATTTTAACAGCAACCTGTTAAAGTTGTTAACTTGTTATTTTCTGTTTTATTGCGAGAGTACGGTTGCCCGCGAAGTGTTGTTGTTGTGTTCAGTATGAAAAATGGCGGAACGGATAAAGCGCTGTGAATGAGAGTACGACGTCGTGTCTTTTGAGTTAACATTGGTAGCAGAGGATGGTTTCCAATTACAAAGTACCACCAAAGCTTGATGAAGCCAGGCCATACGAATGCTGGAAGAATGAAGTCAATATCTGGAGACGAGTTATGGAGCTGGATAAAAAGAAACAGGCACTCGCGGTGGCGCTGGGGCTCGAGGGAAGAGCCAGAGAAACGGCCATGGAGATACCCGCGGAAGATTTGGACAAAGATGACGGTATGGAAATACTACTTGCAAAACTTGATGCGGTGTTTCAGAGAGAAGAGAAAGACCGCGCTTATGAAGCCTACTCGTGTTTTGACTCCATTGCAAAGAACCACAGCGTGTCCATGCCAGACTACATTATAGACTTTGAACAGCGTTATAACCGGATGAAAAAGTACAACATGACGCTGCCTGACGCTGTGCTAGCATTTAAGCTTCTAGATACAGCTTGTCTTGATGAGAAAAGTCGACAGCTTGCACTGACAGCGTGCACGGACTTAACGTTTGCGTCTATGAAGTCTGCACTGAAACGGATTTTCGGAGGGAAAGTAACCGGAGTTTTCAGCGGAATTCAACTGAACCAAGAAGCAGTTTTCCTTACGGAACAAAAAGGTCCCAAATACAAACGAAACAACGGTACTTCGTCGTGGAGTGGACAGCGACAACCACTACAAGGTACCAACCCACTTGACAAGTTTGGCAAGCGAACAAGATGTGCTATTTGTCAGAGCACTTACCACTGGGCGAAAGACTGTCCTCATCGTAATGGTGACCAAGTAAAGCTAACTGAAGATGGGAAAGTGGAGGAGTGTAACATTACTTTGTACACTAAAGCCTCAATGACAGACTCTGAAACAGACTCTGAAATCTTCCTGACTGAGGCACTGGGGTCAGCCATTATTGATACTGCATGTACACGTACAGTTTGTGGTCAGAAGTGGCTAGACAGTTACATGCGTGACCTCAGCCAAGGCCAAGTAAACAAGCTGTTGCAATCAGAAACCCCCAGCTCCAGACCATTTCGCTTTGGGGATGGTATTGTAGTGTATTCCAGCAGAAAAGTGAAACTTCCAGCCAAAATTGGACAAACAAAATGTGACATTGAAAGTGAAGTAGTTCCTGTTGACATTCCACTACTACTGAGCAAAACGTCTCTCAAGAAAGCAGGGACTGTTCTAGACATGGAGAATGACAGTGTTGTCATGTTCAAGCAGCCTGTTCCCCTAGAGCTCACTAGTTCGGGACACTATTGTGTGGACATTAGAGATGAAAATACTACAGAAAGCTGCAATGAAAATGAAGTTCTCATGGTAACTGCTGAAATGTCTACAAAAGAGAAACAGAAAGTCCTTGTGAAACTTCATAAGCAGTTTGGTCATGCATCTGCAGAGAGGTTATTGAGGCTCATCCAAAGCTCTGGCAATACAGATAAACAATGTGCAGTTATTCTACAAGAGATAGTTCGTGACTGTGACATTTGTCAGAAATATTGCAAAACCAAGCCGAGACCTGCTGTTGGTCTACCCCTGGCTTCTGAGTATAATGAGACAGTAGCGATGGATCTACATGAGCTGGAGCCCAATGTGTGGTACCTTCACATCATCGACCACTTCACACGCTTCAGTGCTGGCAGCATCGTAAAGACAAAGAAAGCTGCAGAGATCGTCAACTCCTTCATTCACACCTGGATAAGCATTCACGGTGCCCCCAGACGGCTCTACACAGACAACGGCGGAGAGTTCAACAACACAGACATTCGGGACATGGCTGAAAACTTCAACATTGAGGTAAAAACAACGGCAGGGTATAGTCCCTGGAGCAACGGACTACTGGAGAGACATAACATGACACCTACAGAAATCCTCCTGAAGGTAAAAAAGGAACGAGGATGTGACTGGCACACTGCGCTAGACTGGGCCCTTATGGCCAAAAACAGTATGCTTAATGTACATGGTTATAGTCCACATCAACTTGTGTTTGGCCAAAACCCCAACCTTCCTTCTGTGTTGATGGATAAGCCACCTGCCTTAGAGGGCACAACTGTAAGTGCAAGAGTAGCTGAACATATCTCAGCATTACATGCTTCCAGGAAAGCATTTACTGAGGCAGAGTGTTCAGAAAGGATCAGGAGAGCACTACGCAAACAACTTAGGCCTACAGATGACAAATATGAGGCAGGAGATAAAGTATACTACAAACGAGTCGACTGTACAGAGTGGAAGGGTCCAGGTGTAGTTATTGGGCAGGATGGAACTGTTGTATTTGTAAGACATGGGGGGACTCTTGTAAGAGTACACCAGTCAAGATTGACTAAAGTGGATTCACAGACTGGAGATAAACAAATACCACACAGTACTACTGATAATGACAACAAAGACACAGTTGAAAATGATGACACTGACACACCCGATGGTGAACAGAGTATTAGTGAGGAAGAAGACATCACTATTGACAGAGAAACTAACACTACAGAAAACATGTCTGTCACACAAACTGCAAATGAGCCCTCTACACCCACTGATCATGTCTCTGCAAATGTAAAGTTAAGATCAGGACAGCTGATTGCTTTTACCAACAGAGACAACGGTGTTCAACACACAGCCAGAGTGCTAGGCAGAGCGGGAAAAGCAAAAGGGCAATACAAAAACTGGTACAATGTGCAATATCTTGAGCATGATGGTAGTGAAGGTGAAAAGAAAGCTGTAGACATGTCACTTGTTGATGGTCTTTGCACTGAAGCTGAAAACAGAGATGCAGATGTACTCATAACAAAAGATATTTCCTTTGATTCTGCTAAGCAGCAGGAGATTGAGAGCTGGCAAAGTAATGGTGTGTTTGATGAAGTGAAAGACCTGGGTCAAAAATGTGTGTCTACTAGATGGGTCTGTACACTCAAAGAAACTACTAATGGTGTTGTCCCAAAGGCTCGACTTGTGGCACGGGGGTTTGAAGAGGTAAATACTAAAGAACTACGGAAAGACTCTCCAACATGTGCGTCTAAGTCCCTCAGACTGGTGCTAGCTGTGATATGTCAAAACAAGTGGAGAGTAAATTCAATGGACATTAAATCTGCCTTCTTGCAGGGAATGGAACTGTCAAGAGACATCTATCTTCGTCCCCCACCTGAAGCTGGCAAGGACAATGTTCTATGGAAACTGAAAAAGTGTGTTTATGGACTTGCAGATGCTTCACTTTATTGGTACAATAAGGTCAAAGACATTATGCTTAAAACTGGTGGTAAAATATCACAGGTTGATCCTGCAGTGTTCTATTGGCAGAATGAACAATCTGAGGTTACAGGAGTGCTTGCATGTCACGTTGATGATTTCCTTTGGGCTGGTTCAAGTCACTTTGCAACTCATATCATTCCTGTACTGAAATCTACCTTCCTTGTGGGCCGTGAAGAACATGACAGCTTTTCTTATGTTGGTATGGACATTTGTACAGTTAATGATGTAATAGAGGTGCATCAACAACTTTACATTGACAACCTACAACCGGTTCAGTTACAAGCAGCACGGGCTGTACAGAGGGAGGCTTCCTTAAGTGAAACAGAACGTGAGCAACTCAGGTCAAAAATAGGACAGATTTTGTGGGTTGCCAAACAAACAAGGCCTGATGTTATGTTTGACACATGTAGCCTTGGATCTAATATCAAAGATGCAACTGTACAGTCTATTCATGAAGTGAACAAAGTTATCCGTAAACTTAAGGCAGAGAAAGTGACTCTTAAGTTTCAGCACTTGGGTAACAGTGAGGATCTGGCATTGGTTGTTTTCAGTGATGCTTCATTTGGAAACCTTCCTGATGGCGGTACTCAAGGAGGGGCATTAATCGTCCTTATGGGTAAAGGAGGAAAGTTTTGTCCTCTCTTCTGGCAGTCTAAAAAAATCAGGCGCGTAGTCAGAAGGACACTGGCAGGAGAAACTCTTGCCATGTCAGATGGAATAGACAGTGCTGTCTTCCTGGCAACACTTTTTTTCTGAGCTTACAACTGGTAACACTGGTCTAAACGCTCTTCCTTTGATCTGTGTAACTGATAATCATTCCTTGTTTGACGCACTCAAGTCTACTAAGCAGGTTACAGAGAAAAGACTGAGGCTAGAAATGAGCAGCATTAAAGAGCTCATACAAGCCAAGAAAATCAGACAGGTTTGTTGGTCAGATTCAAAATCTCAACTTGCTGATTGTCTGACAAAAAAGGGAGTTTCACCTTTAACCCTTCTAAAGGCGCTAGATGAAGGACTCTGGATACTGTAATCCTTTGTCTACAAAGTTGTCTTTGCATTCAAATGTACCATTGTTTATTGTGTGCAATGATAGTATGCTTTAAGTAAAGCAAAGCACTTTTGAAATGTTTTTTTTTATATAAATATATACATATATGTATACAAATGTTTACAGGGGTGTGTTTATACTTTTATTTAATTTTTTTTTAAGAAAGAGGGAGATTGTTAACTTGTTATTTTCTGTTTTATCGCGAGAGTACGGTTGCCCGCGAAGTGTTGTTGTTGTGTTCAGTATGAAAAATGGCGGAACGGATAAAGCGCTGTGAATGAGAGTACGACGTCGTGTCTTTTGAGTTAACAAAAGTCACAGCTGAACTCTGAACATCACACAGCTGGATTAAAAACTACTTCTTGATGAGTTGTTTCTTCATGAAGTATAAAATACAGTTATAATTAACATTTCCATGATCTGCACCACTTTGTTTATAATGTCGATTGTTTTCATTAACAGTCGGATGGTCTGCCGCTCTGAATTATGGTATGCCATCTTCTCCCCTTCGTAAAGGATGTTCCAGTGGATCCTAAGGAAGCAATAAAGGAAGGATTGAAGAGTCACTTTTCTCACTTAGGACCTTAATAAGCAAAATGGACTATTGGAACAGACCCAGAGTTTGTCCTCAGAGGCTAAAAGCCTACGGACCAGATTTAGCGTGAACTGGTTTAACTCTAATCCGGACCTGATAGTAATATGTACGTGATCTCTCTACAGAGCAAAGACGCCTCCAACACCTGTCACCTAACCAGCCTCCTGCTGCTCAAGGTCAGCTTGAAAAACACACACACACACACACACACACACCCCCCAATGATTTAGATTCACTAGTTTAGTTTCCACTACTTGAGAGAGAACCAACCCTGACACGGGCAGAACATGTGAACACAAAGGCCCCAACCAGATGATGGATTCGAACCCACGACCTTCATGCTCTGAGACAACAGTGCTACCCACGGGAAAAAATAAATGTTCGGAAGTGATTAATACTGCTTTTTTCATTTTATTATTGATACTTTTTAGAAATCATTACAAATGAGTAACTTAAATATTGAAGAATCAGTTCCACTGTGTTGCTCCCAGTATTCCTAACACAGATGGCCTTTTCACCCTTTTCTTGCTCACAGTCCCAATCATTCTGTACAAATCTAATGTTTACTTTTTCTCCAAGGTCAGCATCTATGAGCAGTTTGGAGCTGTAGGATCAAAGATGTCGTCTCTGCAGCAGCTGTGTAGCCTGCTGCCCTTTAACCCCTGGCACTGGTTCAGCCTGGGACAGATGTGTTTGCAACTGCTGGACAGAAACAGAACCACAGGTAGTGTTTCTTTAACTTCCTTCTTCAAGTGTATTGCTATGGTAAATGAACTCTGTTGTAATTTTTTACAGCAGGTAATCAAAGATATAACATTTTCCCTTTGCTGTATTTGTGTTTTTCAAAGAATCCTCCTCCTCTGAGAGCTGCAAATCAACAGATGAGCAGGAGGACAGAGAGGGGCATCAGGAGGAGACCGCAGAACTCAGCGAGGACAGAGTCTGGCTCAAAGCTTGCACTTGTTTCATCAGGACAAGGTACAACATGTGACTGTGACCCCTGTATTTACAGGGAGTGCAGAATTATTAGGCAAATGAGTATTTTGTCCACATCATCCTCTTCATGCATGTTGTCTTACTCCAAGCTGTATAGGCTGGAAAGCCTACTACCAATTAAGCATATTAGGTGATGTGCAACTCTGTAATGAGAAGGGGTGTGGTCTAATGACATCAATACCCTATATCAGGTGTGCATAATTATTAGGCAACGTCGTTTCCTTTGGCAAAATGGGTCAAAAGAAGGACTTGACAGGCTCAGAAAAGTCAAAAATAGTGAGATATCTTGCAGAGGGATGCAGCAGTCTCAAAATTGCAAAGCTTCTGAAGCGTGATCATCGAACAATCAAGCGTTTCATTCAAAATAGTCAACAGGGTCGCAAGAAGCATGTGGAAAAACCAAGGCGCAAAATAACTGCCCATGAACTGAGAAAAGTCAAGCGTGCAGCTGCCAAGATGCCACTTGCTACCAGTTTGGCCATATTTCAGAGCTGCAACATCACTGGAGTGCCCAAAAGCACAAGGTGTGCAATACTCAGAGACATGGCCAAGGTAAGAAAGGCTGAAAGACGACCACCACTGAACAAGACACACAAGCTGAAACGTCAAGACTGGGCCAAGAAATATCTCAAGACTGGTTTTTCTAAGGTTTTATGGACTGATGAAATGAGAGTGAGTCTTGATGGGCCAGATGGATGGGCCCGTGGCTGGATTGGTAAAGGGCAGAGAGCTCCAGTCCGACTCAGACGCCAGCAAGGTGGAAGTGGAGTACTGGCTTGGGCTGGTATCATCAAAGATGAGCTTGTGGGGCCTTTTCGGGTTGAGGATGGAGTCAAGCTCAACTCCCAGTCCTACTGCCAGTTACTGGAAGACACCTTCTTCAAGCAGTGGTACAGGAAGAAGTCTGCATCCTTCAAGAAAAACATGATTTCCATGCAGGACAATGCTCCATCACACGCGTCCAAGTACTCCACAGCGTGGCTGGCAAGAAAGGGTATAAAGGAAGAAAAACTAATGACATGGCCACCTTGTTCACCTGATCTGAACCACATTGAGAACCTGTGCGTTGCAGGACCACTTTAGTGTTCAAGTAGTACAAAAAACAAATAAGAAAACACCCACAATGTGTCACAATGTTTATGGGGTGGCTGTGGCTCAGGTGGTAGAGCAGATTAGGTACTGAAGGTTAGTAGTTCGATTCTTGGCTTCCCCAGTCTGCATGCCAAATATCCTTGGGCAAGATACTAACCCCAAGTTGCCCTCTATGCGTTCATCGGAGTATGAACATGTGTGAATGTAGTTTAGTTTGCACTTGTGTTGAGAAGTGCTTGTATGAGTGGGGTGCGAATGGGTGAATATACAGCGCTTTGAGTACTCCGGGAGAGTAGAAAAGCGCTATATAAGAATCCGTCCATTTACCATTTGTTTGTTTTTTATTTCAAATATTGTGTAACAAGACAAAACTGCAAATGTGAATGCAATTTTTTTTCCCCTCACTCTAAACTAACTGAAGCCTTTCATTGAACTACCACATAAACAAATTAGTACTGTCTTTCTGGCCAGACACGTGGCAGCACTTCTGCTATAATTTTGTTCGTATTTAACAAAATAAAAATGCAGACATAAGTGTTCACATTAGTTTTTGACTGCTAGTGAAAATTGTTTTCTTTACAAATAACTCTCCTACTGAACTAACACGGCCAATCCCTCAGCATGTTTGTCTTCTCTGCTCATATTGCCTTCATAATAAATCATTATTTGCTTTTTAAAGAACTTATTTTAACATTGCACTCAACAACAAACAAATCCTTCCTAACAAAAAAAACTAACTTCTAGGGCCAAATTTCATTATAGTTCTTCATGCCAAAATACGGGCCGCAAGTGCCCCCCTGGCCTTGTGTGAATATAATGAGATATACAGTTCTTATCCTAACAGTGAGCAAGTTGCTGGATTACAGTATCCAAAACAGTTAAGACATAACTCTTACTAAATAAAATATACAATATGACAACACAAAATAGGTCAAAAAGGTGACACTTACACTAAATAACAACATTAGTGAGGTAGAAAATGGAAAAAAATAAAAAATGAATAAAAACCTAAATTTAATACAATACAGAGCTTAATATGTAAGATGGTAACAAATAAATGCAGTTATTGTGGTGTGAAGTGGAGCTGAAACAGGTGACTGTCCAGTAAGTGGTGCAGAGTGTTGTATGGATCCTTTAATTATCCACAGCCACAGTCTTTTGGATGATGTCTGTGCCAGCTGTCAAAGATTTAAGCATAAAAAAGACCAAGTATAGACCGATAATATAGGGTATAATATTAGATATAAGAGTACTCACATTGTTTTGCTGCCTCCTACAGACTCCTGTTGAGAATCCTACGACAACAGCAGTCCTCCTTTGTGCTTCAGCGTAGTGAGAGAGTCCTACAGATGACAGAAGAGGCGTTACAGCGGCTAAACCCCAAACAAGAAACCCTGCAGGCTCTCACTGAGGTGAGAACCCTTCTTGCACACATACTCTGAAACCAGTTTTTATGGTCCCACGATTCTGGTCGAAGGGGTTTTCACACACCAGACTTGCTCCTGTTGAGTTCGTCAAGATCCTGATTGGGTGTCAGTGGAGGTGGATAACATAAGCTTCTGCTAAATGTTGACTGGTTGACAAGTGGGCTTGATTAAAGAAAGTGGTGACAGTGGATTTACAGGAATATGGAGAAGTTCAAAGACAAAAAAATGGCATGAAAAGCAAAGACAGTGGCTGTAGTGGACAGCTCATTGTTTTTAAGACTCTGGTTTACTTCAGCTCTTTGTACACGGTTGGCTGGTGGACCAACAACAGCACGAGCATCAGTGGCCCACAGACGGTTTGTACCACATACTTTAAAGACTGCTTCCATCTGGCAGCTTGGCTCTCTGCAGGTAGACGGGACATGCCGTCTAGCTGGACTACAAGACCTGCTTGAGGAGGCTTAAATTCCAGGCAGTTTGGGTTAAATTGGCTCATTTTTACACATCAACATTATCTCTCTTTGGTCTTCCAGGTGATGTCAGAGGACCTGATCCCAGAGAAGATGAGGGAGGACTACCAGGATGGGGAGAGCCTGACCAGTGTCTCTTTGCACAGCTTCAGACAGCGCTGGTGGAACAAGATCTTACTGACAGGCGTGTTAGAGACTGACGGGCAGCAGCATAAAATACAATATCCTCATGCTGCAGTGTAGACTGTTTACAAATGTGCACACAGACAGGAGGGAAGTGAAGAACGAGCTGAAGATGGCTGTAATAAACAGCACAGTGAATGTGGTCGTCATTAAGCCTGCAGACTGAACCTTCACTATTTCATCCACTTCACGGTGATAAATATACGGCAGTGCCTCTGATCTGTATCAAACCATGAAACAAGTGAATTATTTTAACTGCTTCATTTTGTGCTTAACATGTTTAAAATGTGTAACATCTCTGCCAAAGAGGTGATGTTTTCTAACAGTTTTATGTTGTTAACAATCCATTAAAATTTGGCTTACATCCATCAACATCTTCAAGGTCAACTTCATGATTTATTGGTTGAAAACTGACAAAAACTGTGAGACTGTGATTCCTACAAATGTGGTGTATACTGTCAGCATATAGAAAGTAGCACGAAAGGATTTAAAATATCTTCGACTGACAGAATTGATAGCTCTGCATGTGTATAGCATTGTTATCTAAAACTGTGTTTTTTACTTATATTGTTTGTACTAATAACATATAGGTATATAGAGAATGATATATGGGGATTCTAAATATCACATCATAGTTTGCATCCAAATATCATGTAACATTTAACCTCACTTTTACACCTCACTTCTGCCTGTCTCTGAGGCTGACCCCAGAATGCATTTAAATGCATTATATCCTACATAATGTTTGTGTAATCATAGTAAACATCTGTCATTTTACTGCACTACAGACTTCTTAAAGTACTTTTAAACTTAAAGCAAAGATTGTTTTGGTTCCAATTATACATATCAGTAAAATAGTTAGCATCATGTGGAGATATAACAATTTAATTAACCCAGGACCTTGAAAAGTGTAGAGCGTTAAACATTTATGAAAGCTCTTACTAAATCAGGCACTGTGACCACTGCTGCAGTGCAAAATGAACAACTCTGATAGGACGATGAGGTCAGTGAGTCTGTTTAAAATCAAGCAGCTGACATGATAATGGAACAGCAGCATATCTACAGGAGGACAGAAGTCTGAGGTCTGCATCCAGCTTTGGAGAGGTAAGACACTCTGTTGATGGGATACAACTGTTTATAATTCCCTTTTCTGTTTAGTCTTTCTGTATTGTGCTGGACAAATCCACTTTTCTTCAGGTATATTTCAAATAAAAGCTAATCTTTTGCTGTAATCAGATAAATCACAATTTGATATTAATTCTGCTTTTAAAGCATGCAAGCTTTTTCTGACTTGTTTTACCTTCAATCATTTCAGGTGACACAACAGAAGCTAACAGAAAGAATAAGGCGGGTAGTGGGATTACATCAGACAACAGAACAGACGAGAAGAAAGAAAAGATTGAAACAATAATATAGAGGTAATTGTGTGTCAAGGGCATTGAAAGGCAGCAAGAAAAGGGAATAACGGCAAGAAGTAACAGATGAAATATTATTAGAAACATACAGCAGATAAAATAAAAACTGAACACATCCCCAATTTGTTTTTCTAAAGGTGCTATTGGCACGAAATTCTCATCAGATGTCGAGAACAACCAATCCAATTCATACATGCAAAGAAATCAAACGATAAATATCCATAAATGAAGCTCTGTGTAATAATGGGAAATGACATAACTGCCTCCTTTATTCTACTTGTCTGCTGCTGAATGTGACCAGAAGTTTGTAAAAGATTATGAAGGGGCTGAAGAGTCTTTCTTTTTATTAAGACATTAAAACAGTAATTCTTTATATCATTATTTAACTGACAATAAAAAAGAGGAATTACAAATAAATATTTCTGAAACTATTAATCCATTGATGAATGATAAAAAAGAAAAAAAGGCTTAAAAAAAGCAGCAATAGCAAAGACATAATTTCTTAAAGAAGTTGCTAATTTTATCCATATTTTCTCATTATTATTCCGATTTGTGTCAAAAAAAGTTTATTAGATTTACAAATTATTAGATTTACAAATTTCTTTACAAATTGGAAAGTTAGAACAACACAGTAACACAGTTACTAATGTGGCAGACGTGTGGTCTTTGGCCTGCTGCAGAGGAGGGGTGACGCCGTGAGCTCACAGGGCAGCGTGGAAGCGGGGAAGAGCAGGTGTGCTGAACTGGACTGATGAATGGAAATTTATGTCTTGAAGTGAGATGGAGCAGAGGGAAAGAGACAGCTTCAGAGAAGTGACAGTTGCACTGCTATCGATAAAGCTGAAGAGTGAATCCTTGTTATAAATAACAAGAAAGGAGCATTAAAAATGTTAAACATTAATTTTGAATAAGGAGTGGCAATAACTGAGCTAATAGGCAGTATAACACAGAGCACTCACTGTAAAACAAGATAAACAGCTGATTGTTTGTGGTTTAAAATTGACCTCATAGCTGACAACAAAAGAATAAGAACACATTTTTAAAATGATTGTAAAAGTAGAACAGAGTTTATCATCTTATCTGCATCTGCCTCTGATCAATAACCTGCAGCCCCTGCTTGCACACTGCTCCACCACAGTCCACAGTGCTTCACCTCCTCAGCTCTCCTCGGTCTCTGCTCTGGATTTCACTCTATATTTGCTCAGAGTAGTTCTCCACACTCTAGAGGTTGTGCTCAGTTCAGCTACGGTTACCCAAAATTCAGAATTTGATGAATAAATCTATTCTAGTAAAAGTCATAAAATATGAGATGATGGATTTTAATTTAACAGAGTAAAATTCCACGTGGAAATACCAACAATAACAAAATCTTTTTAAAAATCCAATTTAAACCGAGAAATAAGTAAAGTGATCAAAAACTCAAATTTGGAATCCAGATTTTTTTAAGTGATATGTAAGATAGTGATTCATTGTGACGAGATTGTTATTACTGTTATATCAAGTGTGCATGGGGAAATTACTTAACCACCTGTTGAAGGCAACATGCTAATATAATGCTTGCAAGCTCATTACAATGACGGCTGTCAGTCCAGTCATTCCTTATTTAGCAATGTACTTGTTCTTCACCTCCTACTCAGCTGCATTATTTTAAAAAATAAATGTAACTTTCTGTACTTAGAAAGCTTTCCTCCTGGCAGCAGTGAGAGGTGAGAAAATCTCTACAAGATGCACATAGATGTCACTGAACATACGTCACTTTCAGGAATTTGAATAAAACTGAATATGAATATGAATCACAAGCCTCCTTTTTTTCTTTCAAGCACACCAAATATCTCTGAATATCTTTTTATTTAGTCAGCCTCGACTGGTAAAGTTAATTTCCTGGTATGCTAAAGTATTTGCATGTGCTGCTACTTGGATGCATGCACAATGTAGGTTAAACAAGGTGATCATAAGAATCATGATATGTCCAGAGATGCAAACCAGATGTAAAAGTCTGGGAATGCTTTGCCTACTGAACATAACAGCCTCACTCTGAGTGTAAACAGGAGAAATGAATATTTTCATGTTGGCATCTATGAGGGAAGTGACAGAAATACAAATCCAGCTCTGACTCAGAGAGGGGATCATATCAACATCAGTGTGTCTACAGAAAACTCCAGAGTGAGGGTAGAAGTCTTTTCTTTCTCTTATTAGAGGACACATTTGTGCAAAGAGTCTAAAGTAAAGATGCTGTGGAGTCTGTTGTTCATCACTTTGATTGGTAAGTGGATCATTTGATGTTCCTGCCTAGCACAGTGATGTTTCAATGATCGTTATAAAGAATGAAAAAGATCAAATATAACAGTTCAGTTTTACTGTGAGTTGATCCAAACTGCTCGATAAAGCAAAAGTCGTTTCATTTAGTTTAAAGAGGATTTGACTTTAGTAAAGCCAGTTTCATTTCTGAGTGTTGAAGGATGGTTTACATTCTGTGCTTTCTGCTGTATTACCAAACAACAATATCAGAGCTGGCAGTAATTCACTCATTCTTACATCGTTCTCTGAAACTTCACAGGAAGATCAACTCAAAAGGATCCAGGTAAGAGTGCATTTCTAATCAGTTTCTTCAGGTTATATCAAAAGTATGATGGTACTTCTGTTCTGAATATACTTATTTGTAAAGTATTTAATTTTATGCCTTTTAAATTATTTTTATATTTTATTTTTCAATTCATTTATTTATTTATTGCATCACAGTAGACGTCATATCAGTGGGAATGTTTCATGTGGGGATTTTCTGTTGGACTGAAGCAATTTTACAAACATCTGTATAAATATATGTTATAAATGTAAATTTATATTGAATTATGTTCTATGATATGTGATCAACGTGATTTAGAAATAAGTGCTTTGATAAACGTGCAGTCTTTGATATGTTTTGAGAATCAAATTATTCATTTCATAAATTCTGATGAATTTTTATTCAGTAACTGCAAAACTATTCAACATTTATAATGTAGTGAGGCTGCTTGGAAATAATCTGTGTGTGTGTGTGTGTGTGTGTGTGTGTGTGTGTGTGTGTGTGTGTGTGTCATAATTCAGATTCATTATTTAGGAGTGAAAAGGAGATTTTTCCTAAAAAAAAACACTAGAAGACCTGGTCTGAAGTATTATTGCCACTGACATTGTTTCTTTCCTTTTTTTTTTTTTTTTTTTTTACTTTACTTTCAGTTACATCATCAGGATTTAGTCCAGGATGGGAAACTATCAAACTGGATGACAAAGTGGCATTTCAGTCTTCAGTCTACACAGATTATTATGGTGTCAACTACTCTGCTGACAGAGCTTTGGATGGAAATTATTTGACATTTTCTGCCACTCTATATGAAACCATCAGCTGGTGGACAGTTGACTTATTTGGTCTATATGAAATTTCCTGCATCACCATTTACAACATGGATTATTTCAATGTTTATCTAGAAGGCGCTCGCATCCTCATCGGGAACTCATCTGAGAGAAATGCTGCTGACACCACTGAGTAATACCTTCATCTTACTTTGAATCATTCTGTTCTCAGTCAGGCTCCAGCATGTCCAATGTTTTTAGATAATTTTACGAACATTTAAATGCATTTAAATCCAGTAATACAGTAACAGAGATAAACCTGTATCAGTCCTATCAGATGAAATAGGAGGTCTAATATGGTGTGATGTGGTTTGGAGTAATAATCAAGTATATGTGAAGAATATAAAAATCTTTATTTATTCTCATTTTCCTTTGTTGTTTATTTGTAGGTGTTTTCCTTCTTTCTAAAATGTTCTCAGACAGCAGCTCACATTTATTATCCAGCTGTTCGACTGTCTCCACTGTTTACAGCATGATTTAATCAAACAGAGCCAGAAACTCTTTCTGTACATCTGTCCAACCTTTTGTCTTTGTTTACAGGTGTGCAACAATCAACACAAATACCAAAGGAGAAAATAAAACATTTAACTGTGTAAATGGACCAAAGTGGGGGCGTTATGTAACTGTGTACAAAGACACACCTGGGTTTTTAATTCTGTTTGAGGTGACGATGAAAGGCATAAAAAAAGGTACAATAAAACATTCTTACCCACTAAGTTAACTGGTCAGTCAGTAGAGTCAATATAAATGTGTAAATGTTGACAGTAAGAATTATGTGCTTGGATTAACGCAGCATGTTAGACACTCAGAAACACTGTTTGGTTTGATGCTTCTAAGTTTCATGTTTTTGATGTTTTTCCTTTTAGAGCCCTTTAAACTGATTAAAGAGAACAAGACATGGGCAGACGCCCGGTACCACTGCAGAGAGGAACACATGGATCTGGTTTCCATCCTTGATAACGAGACCCAGGTCTGGGTTGGGTTGGCGGCTCAGAAGGCTGACACTCCCTTTGTCTGGCTGGGTCTTCAATACATCTGTGGCTTCGACTTCTGGATCTGGGTCAACGATCAGTGTGTATTTTTTGATCAGTGGGCTCCAGATGACACAAGAACAGCAGTCTGTGGCATGAACGCTGCCATGAATAAAGGTGGGAACCATTTGTGGTACAAGAAGTCTGTTTATGATAAATATAATTTCATCTGTGCAGTGTAAGAAGATCCATGGGTTGGTTTTGTTTATTCAGTTAGACAGGTGTCAGTAGTGGCTTGTTGGGTTCTAGCAAACTTTCCTCTAATAAATCAAAGGTGATGGGTTCAGGCTCAGTGTAGCAGGAAGATAAACAGTGGAGAAATTAACCAAAACTTCTCTATTAACACTCAGAAACATGTTATTATTATAAATTACTTTTGATTGTATTTCATGATACACTGATATGATGATTATATGACACTTCAAAAACTTAAGCATTTAGTGTTTTCTATAATTTTGAATTGACATATAGATATATTATTTCCTTTAGTTGTAAATGGATCGTTGGCCTTTGAATTGTTTTACTCGCGTCTCTCATGTTTAAACCTGCTGAACAAATAAAACATAAACTGGAAAACAAATGTTTGTCAATTCAGTTTATTTTTGTTGGGATGTTTGTCAAGTTTACAGACATTCAGTGACTGTGTTTGTGTTTCAGATTGTCTCCTTTAAATTCACTAAATAACTTCATATATAATTTTTACACTGTAAAATGCTTGTTTCAGTTAAAATGGTCATTTGCACAAAAGTGTCTTTTTAATGTTTTCAAATGGAGACCGTTCAGTAACGACCACCACCTGATGACCCTTTTATTCAATCCATGAATTTGAACCAGTGATAATTATTCTGAATGAATCTGTATGAGCAGTGAAATTACGGCACTTACAGTGTTTTAATAATATAGCCTTCATTAAAGCCAAAGACACTGAGAAAAGGTTCCACACCCATGACTGTACTTTGAACTGATGTTACGTTGACATAATTAAAAAAGGCCTTAAGTTCCTGATATCTTTTAAAAGACAAAATGTGTTTTTGTGCAGGATTTTCCAACAGGTAACATCTGAGAATAAAAATAACTACATCAATATCACATTGACTGAAGTGCTCTCCATTTTAAGTGTTGATGCTTGATCGTCGCGGTAAAGAAAGTTTCTGGAATCTCCATTTTAAGGTCGCTAGCCTTGATCTAGCAATCCTGTGCCTCACTCAGAGTCACACACATCCGTTATTACAAATGTTTACCAGGATCCTGTAAAGTATCTTTGCTCTTCGTAGAGCTGCACTCTTCTGGACACAGATCTCAGATGTCATTCCTGGGATCTTCTGGAGCCACCTGCCCAGTTTAGGGGTCACTGCCCCGAGTGCTCTGATTACTACATGGACCACTGTTGCCTTCACCATTCACATCTTCTTAACCTCATCTCTCAGCCCTTGTTGTTTTTCCAGCTTCTGGTATTCGTTATTCCTGATGCTGCTATTACTCGGTATAGTGGCTTGTCCATCACTAGTATGTCTGATGGTTCGCTATCACCAGTTTGACCGTCTGTATCTGGAAGTCCCACAGGATCTTAGTCCGGTCATTCTCGACCACCCTTGGCGGTGTCTCCCATATTGACTTTGGGACTTCCAGGCCCGGCCTCTGAACTATGCCAGCCATTTGGTTATCATGTTCCATGTATGCCCTGCACGTTAGCATCTTGCACCTTCCTGCTATGTGGTGTTAAGGTTCAAATATTGAGGAAGGAGAGTACAAACCACCCATGGTCCAGAAGCTCTTGGTCAAACGATTGATTTTAATGAATACACACGTGTGGGAAGAACACTCTGTACGCAGACAGCAAGTGGTCTTCGACTTAATCAAAGCATGAACAGATATTTTATACCGTCAGGGCTTAAATTTACTGACGCCCCTTTAACGTCACAGATACATTTTATACATAGATCAAATCAAAACCACAATGACTTTTAACACAGTTCAAAAAACATTGTCTTCTATCTCCCTAACAGGTACATCCTGTCACTGCCGGATGCTCGCTTGTCATCTTGACACCTCAGCAGCAGTTCTGCGACAAACTGCTTTTTGCAACCCCAGCAAAACATAATTAAACTTTCCCCTATAAATGATTCTCTCTAACTGAGTGTGTGTGTGTGTGTCACGACCTCACATGCTCTCTGTGTCACCTCTTCACCTACTAACTGTCTGTGTCTCGTCCTCAAATGCTCTTTCTCAATTCACCTGTTGCACTTCTGACCTTTTACCAGAACAGAGGCTCATCCTTATGTGTTACAACCTAACTGAGACTATGTATATGTCCTCTACTAAATAAATGTTTTAATCAAGAACCTCTACTAAAACCTTAATATAAAATGACCTGATATAAGTGTTTTGTAAGCATGTATTGCAATCCTTTCTATGTTCTAGTTTTCCCTCAACATGTATCACCTGAACAGTCGCGCCAGTGAAGCTTCAAACCTTTAAAGAACCTGAACATCAACTCAAATAAGCACAGATATGCAATGTATACAAAATAGTTATAACTGCACCTGAAATACAAAGTTAACATAATAACTGTATGCATAACATCTTAAGGCCTTCTTAAAGCTATCTGTTACATTGTTAAAGCCTCGTCTTAGCCTGCTGCTCAAAATAACTTTCACTTCTGCAAACTCTCTGCAAGCCTGTTTCCTGCCACTTAGTCTTTCTGAAAGACACACACACTGTTCAACCCTCTGAATGCAATATAAACTCCAGATTATATTATTAATGCAATGGTAATGATGACAATTATTTAACAATAGCAGTAAAATAATTTCCCTACTCCACAGTGGTTCATAAAAGTCATTCCTTATTTTACTGCCCTCTGCCATGGCAAAGTGCAAGTCCAGCATTAAACTTCTGTGGTTCAGATTTATTAGTAGATGGAAAACTTTCTTCCATGTAAATAAATCTGTGTAGATGAATGGAATAGAAGACAGCTCTTATGCAATGGCCACCATGAAAGTCAGAGCATCTCATTCTAAAAGAAAAGAAGAAAATTATTCAAACAGTATCAAGGTGGGAAGAAATTTCACAAACTGACTTGTTGCAGTGGCGGTATCCTTTTACAGTAGCATGCTCGAATTCAGTGAGTTCTTTAGAATGACAAATTTTTTGACAAATGACAAAAAATGACAAATTGATTTAGAAGCAGTTCTGAGCTCAGGAGCTGCTTCATGTTTGAATCTCAGATCCTCATTTTATGCAGCAGCGCCACCTACTGCTCAAAGCATTGAACTACCAGATGAGGTTGAATATTGTCTCCTTGGTCTACACACCTCCATGTTCACTGAGCTGTGTGCTTTATCACTACTCTTTCACCCTCTTTTACACATGAACACAGTGACAGACCTGAGTCTGAAACCAAGTACCAATGAAAAGGAACTCTTGATTAAAATGACTTACAATATATATACCGGTATATATTTTTAAAAACAAGAACTTCACACTGTGATAATAAAACACACCATGACTTAAGCCTGATATGTAGATTCCTGTGCCTTTGCAGCAAAAACCATGATGCTGCTTTACTTTGAATATCCCAGCTGCTTCTCTGCTCCAATGACCAAATGTATTTAATGTGCACAAATCAAAGTGAGAACTGCACTTCAAGACTGTACATGATGGAATTCATGTTATTGGTGATGAATAGGACTCACCCTGCAGCAAAGGTGCAGAAGCTACAGGGGGCTGCAGTGACGTGCCCGCAGGCTGTGCTGGCAGCCAGCTGCGGCAGAGTACCAGGCCCAGCCACCCAAGGTATGAGGGCCCCCTGCCTTCTGGTAGGGGCCCGACCGAGCCACGGGCGCCAGGCCCCGCCAAACAG